ATGATTTTGCCTGCGATGCCCATGGTGACCGCTGAAATGCCTTCTAACACACTTCAATTCCGCTCAAACTCAACAGCGGTCCAGAATTCAGCTGCGAGGAAATAACAAGACGTGGTATTTAAATCCAATGCCGGCTTTTTGCCGCGTTTCGCTATCTCCAGTAGCGCGCGAGATTTAATTAAAGACCACTCGAGACCCTTGCAGGGGTCTCCTGTAGGTATGTAGACCTGCCGGTGACAACGGATTGCAAGAGACTCCCATGGATGCAAGAACAATTGCTGGTTGCACACGGTCTTCCAAGGTACGCACACAGCCGTTGAGACGAAGTTCAATGCATGAAAAGATCTGAAATCACCCATACGACCAGGGTTAGGGTTGGTGTTGCCGGTCGCTCCAGCAAGTTGCCCATCGAGACGATGTTGCAGTTTTGATCGCGTATATGTGTATCGAATAAACGTTGGGTGATCGAACAGAGGCCCTCGACGGCCCTCGATGCCAAACTCGATCCAGTCGGTTCCGTCCAAGGATGCAATGTATCCAAACGCTAGAGCGTATACTTAAAGTCAGGATGCTCATCACCGAGCAAATTGTATTGCTCCTCTGGAGACAATTCCTGAATGGGCTTCAGAACAGCATCCCTCAGTAGGTCGTCCTGCTTCCGTTGGTTCTTCCACCTGAGCAATGCAATCTCGCAAGCGACAAGGCCTACGGTGATGCAAGAGAACGCCAGATTGAGCTTTGCAGCAAGTTTGTACCCTGGCGCAGCAGACTCCGGGTAATTCCAAGTGCTCAGAATACCACCAGAGTTAGAGGAGATGAAAGCCATCGCGACAGCTGTTGCTCGCTTCGTGCTCGCCGCAGCGTTATTCGGCATCCAGCTGATCAGACTTGGACAGGTCGAATAGATTCCCGTGATCATGAGGCATAGAGCAGTGTAGTGCGCGGCGGGCGAATTGCTTCTGAGGAACAAAGCGTAGCCTGCTATCGACAGGAGCGATGTGATCATGGCTGTGATCCCGCGAGCTTTGTATCGATCAGCGGCGTATGCGGCTATCATCGTGGCAACGAAAGCTATCGCGAATGGAGGGACTGTGAACAGCTGTGTTTTGGTGCCCTGATAACCCATGGATTTGACAATGCTGGGCGCAAAGTTGGCAAGACCGAAGAGCGAGGTTCCGTTGACGAAGAGGACGATGCAGAGGATTAATATGTGCGGGCTTCGGAGAGCAGACAATAGCCCTCTGACGTTAAATCCACCGGTTTCTTTTGCTGGGCCGTCGTCTTCCAATCTTCTCACGCAGTGTTCAGCTTCTGCAGGCGACAGAATCTTGACGTCGTGCGGTGAATTCGGTAGTATGAAGGCGATTGCAATGCCATAGCAGACTGTGAACAAGCCTTCGAGTAGAAAGATCCATTGCCAGCCCCTCATACCCCGAAGACCGTCCATTTGGACGATCGCGGCAGCAAGTAATCCAGAGAAAGCGCCACTCATAGCAGCGGCCGAGAAGAAAAAGCCAACGCGCATCTGTAATTCGTGGCGTCGATAGAAACCTGCAGCAAAGAGTCAGATCATTGTTGACGGGTGCAGATCAATGCAACATATCACGGCCATACCAGAAAGATAGAGGACTATTCCTGGGAAAAGCCCGCCCTCAACGAGACCCAAGAAAAAGCGTGCGGCGAGCAGACCGCCATAGCTGCTGACTTGAGACTGAACTGTCGTGACAAGGCCCCAAAGGACGCAGATGGTTGGAAGAAGGATGCGAGGCCCGACTCTGTGCAGGATCAGATTCGATGGCAGTTCGGCTAAAATGTAAGGAACGTATGTCACGGTGAGCGCTGTCATCGGTTAGTATGTTGCGTGTCTAAATTTCTGTATTGAATGCTCACCTGTCTGGTATTGATGGTCGGACATCCCAAGATCCTCTTGCAACCCTGCCACTCTGGCATTTCCTATACTGGAAGTTGCAGATCAGCATCCATGTGCGACATGAATAATACGAGGATTGATGCACATACTTCGAACGGTCTAAAAAGGCCAGCAGATACAGTATGCTGTCGGGCTGGTCAGTGAGCTATCCCCAAAACTGAACCACGCTCCAACATACCTCATAACCGGTATTAGAATGAGATCCAATTTGTGGACGGTCTTTCGCTCGAGCTTGCTGTCAAGTACTCCATGCTCTTTTGCGTCCAGTTGCATGGAATGCGTAGGCGAAGATGCATTTGCATCTCGGCTTTGGAGTTCGCTCATACGGAACGGATGGCTTGGAGATGGGCTTCGCTGTCTTGAGGATGGGTCGACTGTCCTGGCCAGGAGGTTTCGGAAGGGAAGTGTTTGGACCTGCTAGTGATATTTACGATGTCCATGTTGAGAGATCGTCGCATTGTGACGGCATCAAAGTTTTCAAGCGGTGACGGCAGAACCTCTCGAGTCTCAACTGCCAGAGTCGTGAGAGTCGTGCTGTATTGACTGCTACAGGCTAGAGTGGTGTTGGATGGAACCACTTAATTGCTAGTGCGTGGGCCCGGAGGGTGATTTGCAACGGGCAGACGGCACGATCGATCTTGATGAGAGTTAGGTAAGGTATTGTACTCTGACAGGTAACCGACACAAGGGAAGAGGCATAATAGACACAAGCATTGCAAAAGCTTAGCCTTGGACTGTGGTACAAAACCGCGGGTGGGCAGCATAAGTCAAGCAAATCCAAATACAAAAAGTGAGCAATTTGGAGGTAGGTATCTCTCATGGAATAAATAATTTGGGACAGAGTGCTACCAGCGTCGCCCATGCCTGTTCCGGTTCATCTGTCCCCTGATAAAGAGAGAGTGTTAACATTGGACCCTGAGACTAGCGGGCGGGCCGTGTCCGTGCCGCGTCTCTCCTTCCTCCTTACATGCATCCTAGCATCATCCTCCAGCATCCACCAAACACACCAAACACAC